AGCAACCCTATCTGAGATCACCTCATTGTTCTGTAAGAATCTTGTCTTTCTTGTAGGTGATTGGTGTGATGTCCTCACTGGTTAGAAGTGCCAGAAGATCTCACAGCAGGAGGAATCTGATCACCATTGCAGAACTGGCAAACTACATCAGACTGAGGGTCTCTGAGCTGACTACTGGGCAACATGAAGAAGCACGAATTGATAACCATACAGAGGGGAGGGTAAGTAACAGTTTCAAAAAAGAAGAAAAAATACAGAACAGTTAGCTTGCTTTATGTAGTTAGATATAGCTTGAATTTAAAAACACTCAGATTGTGGTCAGTAGCTCTTGTTTTGTTCCTAGAAATGTGCCAGTTGACTAAATTATTTTGATTCCTTCCAATATAGAAATAGACTTTTCCCTTTTTTCAGGCCTATTATCTCGAGGAGTGTGAAAGTTTAGTGGACGAACTGTTGTTCAGACTCAATGCCCTCTCTGACAGCCTGCACCTCAAAGCCCATCGCTACAGGGAGGGCAGTCCTGTCATCTCCCCCACACCAGAGCCCTCCAACATGGACTCACAGGTGAATCCATCTATATATGTGCCATACAAATAAACTTTGATTGTTTAAAGACACACACACAAAAAAAATTAAGGAGTAAAATCAACATATTTGAAACTCTGTGTGATTCTATTAGGGCTCAGCAAGGTCACAGATAATCATGAATGGCACACATTCAGATGACCAATGTTTGTTAAATCTGGGAGGAACCCCAACTATGTCTCTCCTGTTCAGGTAACAGAAATGGACTCCACCCATTATAGGTATTATTTTTAAGCAGGTACTAAAGGTGAATAACGTAATCATGTGACTAACTATAACACTTCTAGGTCCCAGGCTAACAAGGACATCCTGCAGCAGAGAGGTCAGACTGGATGTAACCCTTCCTCCAACTTTGTTGTGGCATCTGACGATAGTTTAAAGGGCAAAAAATGCCCAGAGTCAGCAGGCAAAAGTCAGACCACCTATACAACTTCACCACCAGAGGTTTTGGTGAAAGTTCTGGTCCATGAAGACCCTGGGAGAGCAGTCCCAGATAAACACTAGAGTCCTCATGGAGATAGCAAATCATGAATTCATTTTTCACTCTTATATTTGTTAATTGTTGTAAAGGCATGTGGAATAGTACAGCATGATATATGCATAACAAACCTTCTACTTCATTTCTTCTTGGTATTGAGGTTGTGGGTAAATGTCATGATTAAAATGTTTGAAGCAACAAATCTGCTGTTATTTATATCCATCCATCCATCCATCCATCTTCATCCGCCGGGTCGCGGGGGCAGCAGCCTAAGCAGAGAAGCCCAGACCTCCCTCTCCCCAGCCACCTCCTCCAGCTTATCCGGGGGAACACCAAGGCATTCCCAGGCCAGCCGAGAGATATAATCTCATATCTATAATCTATAATCTCTGTTATTAATATTTTTATTTAATTTATCTACAAAAAGGTACATTTACTTTGTTATTTTTACCCAGTAGTAGCATAACTTTTTAAAAACTTGTTAGCACAAAAGTTTGTAACCCATCCATCCATCAATCTATTTGGAGACAGTGGCAGTGACAAAGCTTTTTACTGCACAGACTCTGGAAGTTTTTCACTCTGAGCCTGAGATCTGCAAACTCAGTGGTCTCTTTCTACAAACAGTTAAAAACTCATCTTTTTAGATTTGTGTTTGGTTAACTTTTCTTTTTTCTCTTTTTTATGTTTGTGATGTCTGTCTTGAAATGTGCTGTACGAATAAAAGTTTTGCTTTCTTACAAAAATACAGGAGGTTAAGCTGGAAGTGACAGAGCTTAACATGGTCAGATTTTTATTGGGAGTGACCAGAATAAACATGACTAGAAATGAGGGCATCAGAGGGACAGATCAGGTTGAGCAGTTTGGACAGCTTGGACATGTGCGGAGAAGGAATAGAGGCCAAAGGATTCTGTAGATAGATGTGACAGGCAGGAGGAAAAGGGGAAGACCAAAGAGTAGTGCTGTTCAATACTCCAGATTTTGGTATCGATCCAATACCAAGTAAACACAGGGCCAGTATTGCCTATGTCGATAGCAATACAGATACTCTTAACCTATAAAAGCAGTGTATGCAGGAAAGAGCAGTGTGCCACAATTTATGTGATAAATGAATATCAATTTGCAAATTCTTAACATATTTTAACAGCAAAATCCCAAACAACAAGACACACCTTTTAGCATTTTATGTATTTTGAAACTGTGTTTTTTGGAGACCTGGAATGGGTTTTTTAAATGTGTGTACAGACTGAATAAAATAGACAAGACAAGAATGTTCAGACATTTTTCATAGTGCATCTTTAAGGTATACTTGTTCATTTCTAAAACAAAAACAAACCAACAATAACAATTCATTGGGTTACATACTGAACTCAGAGGACAGAAACAAAGTGTCAATGCTGTTGACTTAATATCACTCCAGTATAAATACCAGATTTCAGCAGTGTTGATATTTGGTATGGACATTTGGAACATTTATGGAAGTAAGGAAGGAGGCCATGCAGGTGTGACAGGGGAGGGTGAGATGCATGGAGGTAGATTAACTGCTGTGGCATCCCATAAAGGGAACTGTCGAAAGAAAAAGAAGTGGAGTTGGAACAGTAAGATATGAAAATGACCCTTATGGGTTTCTGTTGTCTTCAACACAGGAAGCTGTAAACATGTAAAGACAGATCACCAGGTCTTCTCGTCCTGTTTAATGAATAATTTCCTCCCTAAATCCTCTAAACATCAGGCTAAAAATAGTCCAGTGCAGTGACTATTAAATATTTGTGTACCATATATATTTAAAGTACTGTTAACACTCATATAAAACATAAAAAATACTTTTAAAATTGTGAAACTAAACAAACAAACGCTTTGAAAAACTTTGCCGTGAGCCAGAAAACAGTAAACAAAAGCATCCAATAGTATCTGTCAACGTTTCAGCATCAGGAATTGAGTGGCGACGTGTGATTGGAGGACAGTCGATGATGGCGTCCAATCACGA